TTTCGGCGTTGTTTTAGGTGTTTTTAAGATTGGTACAAGTTCGAATAAGGTATTAGGTGGTATTGGTGCTTTAGTTTGAGGTCCCGGGGGCCTCGGGATGATTTCGGGTGGTTAACGGGGAGATTATTGAAGTGTTGCAGCAACTGGTTTTTCATCTTCTGGTATTTTCGCTTCTGCGGCTTGGGAACCGCAGAAGCGGAGCTGCATAAGCAGCTGGATCATCGCAGAAGCGGTTTGGGCAGCGTTTCCAGGCGTCGCAGATGCGGAGGAAATTCCGCAGGAGCGGCCTCGCATCTGCGAGAAAATAGCCGCAGATGCGGCCATTTGGCTTTTGTTTGGAACCGCTGAAGCGGTGGATAATCCGCACAAGCGGAACCGCATAAGCGGTCGACTGGACCGCAGAAGCGGATGTGGCTGTTTTAGTGAGAGTCACAGAAGCGGCTCACTTTCCGCATAAGCGGGAGCAGAAGCGGAAGCACCTGTTCAGAAAAGAGAATTTCGAGGGTTGAGTTTCAAAAGTTGGAAAAATCAATTGAGAGCTCGGGAGAGGGCGATTTTGAGTGGGTTTTGAAGTGAAGATCATTGGGTAACGTTTTCTTAATCCCTTTTAGTTGTATTCCATCAATATATAGCTTAATCCATCATCTAATTTCGAATTTGGTATCAAAATGGGAGAAAACTTCTTAGACTAAACCATTGAGTTTTGAGTGAGCATTTGACCTCCGATTTGGGAGATTTTTATATGGTTAGACTCGTGAGAGTACGAGGGTTCTGAAAATGTGAAAATTATTCAATTATGAGGCGTTGGCCTGAAGGGCATTTTGGTCATTTCACCTAATTTCACGTCGTAACTTTGAATTAAATAGCAAAACCAGTTGTTTGCGATGTTATTTACAATGTGTAATTGAATTGAATAGATTTGGGCCATTTGGAGTCGGATACTTGTGGCAAAGGCGTGTTTTTAGTTGATATTGAGCCGGTTCGAGGTAAGTGGCTTGTCTAACCTTGTGTGGGGAACCTTCCCCTTAGGATATGATAATTGGTAATTGAATGCCTTGTACGTGAGGTGACGAGCACGTACTTGAGCTAATTGTTAAAAATACGGCGTTACTTTAAATATTTAGACTGAGTTTCTTTCTTATTTGCTTTATTTTACTTGCAATTATAGCCTGTGTTAGTTTAGAGAAGCATGTTTAGTCGACTTACCTGCCTACTTGCTTAAATTTGCTTTGTTTGTATTTCGTGAAGTATGTAGGGCTAGAATTTACTGTTACTTGTTATGAGTTGAGCATTTATTCCGATACTCTTGAGCTGTTATTGTGTGTTTAAATTTGGGACTACGGGACGACATCCCGGGAGATCCCCTGCACGTGTTTACGATCGGGACTGAGGTGCGGGATACCAAGAGATCCCTGGCACATTTTTATATATTGAGGATATCAAGAGATCCTCGGGATACCAAGAGATCCCTGGCACATTTTTATATATTGAGGATACCAAGAGATCCTTGGGATACCAAGAGATCCCTGGCACATTTTAATATATTGAGGATACCAAGAGATCCTCGGGATACCAAGAGATCCCTGGCATATTATTGAGGATACCAAGAGATCCTTGGGATACCAAGAGATCCCTGGCACATTTTTATATATTGAGGATACCAAGAGATCCTCGTGATACCAAGAGATCCCTGGCATATTATTGAGGATACCAAGTGATCCTCGGGATACCAAGAGATCCTCGGGATACCAAGAGATCCCTAGGTTATATGGTGAAGATACCAAAAGATCCTCGGGATACCAAGAGATCCCCGGTTATCATCCTTGTTGTGAGCGGTATCTCCTTGCGATTGCCTTATTTCTGTTTTTCTGTTACTCTATCCTTATTATCCTGTTTAGATTCTCGCTGTAGACTATCATTATACTGTTTCTTTATCCTGTCGTTTATTATTTATTTATCTCAGTAGGGCCCTGACCTTCCTCGTCACTACCCGACCAGGTTAGGCTTGGCACTTACTGAGTACTGCTGTGGTGTACTCATGCCCTTCCTGCGCATGTTTTTCATGTGCATATCCAGGTACCTCTTCTCAGGCGCACTATCCTTGAGGCGAGGAGATACACGGAGACTTCGAGGTATATTTCCGCGTCCGCAAACCAGGAGTCTCTATTCTGTTCCAGCTTTAGTATTTAGTTTATTCCTTTTTCTCTCAGTTGTTTAGATATTCTGGAGTTAGAGCAGCGTACTATGTTTCTGTTAGCCTGTGGTTCCCGTGAGTTTTCGGGTTTTGGGATTTAGCTGTAGACTTCCGCATTTCTTTTGAGTTGTATAGGCCGAGCGGCCTCTTATGCAGTTATTATTTTAATATGTTTAGCTCTATTCAACCATTTCGCAAGTTAAGTTGTTATTTACGCATTGATAGGCTTACCTAGTTGTAGGAACTAGGTGCTATCACGACATGTTAATGGAGGGTGAACTGGGGTCGTGACAAGTAAGTACAGAGGAACTAATTAAGGAGCTTAATTACCGTATCTTCGGTGGATATAACGAGACAAAGCTGCTTGTGTTATCCCCAGTATAACGTCGTTAACCGTCTAAATTTACAAGAAAAAGAAGAAGTGAGCTTACGTCAGAGACAAAATTAAACCCATGAAAAGGGATTTATAATGCTATTCAACCTTGGATTTAAAGTTTATACGCTTACACAGTTTGTCACATTCTTTATAAATTTAATGTCATCCAAGCTAACAGTCCGATAGATAAATCTTTGACTAATTTTCTAATTTTCCATAATCGTCCACCACACTCCATATCTTAGAGCAAAATGCAAATATTATTATTATTATTATTATTATTATTATTATTATTATTATTATTATTATTATTATTATTATTATTATCACTTATCAAACTACAAAGATAATGCTGAGAAAAGGCTCCAATTATTTAACGAAGAAAGGAGGACTTATTAATTAGGTGCACGCAGAATTGATAATTAAATTTCAGCCGCAAAAGGAACCTTTCATTAAAAGCACAGGTGTCTTATTAATTTTTTTTTTGGTCATCAGGTGTCTTATTAATTTAGCTTTCGGGAAGGGGTTGGGATCTGGTCCAATTTTATACTCCTTCCGGTCCAAAATAAGTGATTTTTTGGTTGTTTTCACACATATTAAGAAATTCACCTTTTAACATTAATTAGCAATTAAATTGTCCATATTAACCTTTATTATCTCTTCATATAAACACTCCTAACACATACTTCAACATTAATTACTCCAAGGGCAATGTAGGAAAAAAATAATTAATTCATTCTTGAAATCTGGAAAAATTACTTATTTTGGACCATAAGAAAAAAGCCAAAAAATTACTTATTTTGGGTCTGAGGGAGTATGCTTTAGTATTTATTTCATCCGGTCCATTTTAAGTAATTTTTTTGGTTATTTCAACAATTAAAGAATTCACCTTTTAACATTAATTAATAATGAAATTGACCATATTAACCTTAATTTGTTCATTGGACCACAAATAGGTTCTTTACTCCAAGTGCAACTTTGAAAAGAAAAATTTAATTCCTTCTTGATAATTGAAAACCTCAAATATTGTGGACCACAAAAAAAAATATAAAAAACACTTGAAGTGAACTAAAGGGAGTATCAATACAGGTCTGGACTGGAGCCACGTACTCCTATGAAATTTTAAAGGCTTAGATCTCTTTTCCTCTACTCGTCTCTTAAAACTCCTTTTTTCTTCCAAATGGAAGGTAAATACAGAGCCCCATATATCAAATGAGTGATGAAAAGCTTCTCCGACAGATTTTTCTTTTCACCAAATTCAATCTCAAATTTATTAGAAAATTACATTTCAATTATGGATAGTGTAGCAAAAAGGAACACATCTTGTCTTCTATCTGTAATTGACTTCTCCATAGCAGTAGGAGACATTTATGAGATTTTTTGATGGAAATAATATAAAAATTGAAAATCTCTACGTTATGCTAGAATTGGATACAAGGAGGAGAATGATACAATTCTGAAATCAACAAACTGTTCCTTGAAAAAGCCAAAAAAGAACAAAAATGAAAGTTGCCATTGTAAAATAAAAAAGCAAGAGCAGCCAAGCTACAACGTTGTCTGATGAGAGAGGAAAGAATTTTAAAATTTTATATGGGCACGTGGCTCTAATCCAGACCTGTATTGAGAAATAATGGAGCTTTTATAACTGGAGCAGATCCCGACCCTTCGGGAAGTATAAGTAGTTTAAATTGCTTTTTGTGGAAATATATATTTTTTGAGAGAACACGTTCACATAGCTCTGTGATGGTTCGAACTATTCTTGAAAGTAGAAAGCAGAGACTTTGATATATTGTTAGGACTTTCTGTGTATTGTATTAGGCATTATTTCAGGATGGTATAGATTTTTTGGGGACCTAGCACATATGACAAATCATTAGCATGTGGAACTCCTTTGGATCTGTCATATGTACTGGTTAGGTCTAATTTTATTTCTCTGTTATGTATTATTTTTTGGGAGGTTTTGGTATTATGTCCCTCTCCTCCCTACTTATTCTGTTTATTTCTTAATAAACAAGGTAGTGGTCAAGGTCAAACCCCCGCCACCAAAGGAGATGAAAGTATATGTCGGCGGTTTACTGAAAAAAAGAAGCTTAATAATGAACTTAAAAGGGGAAAATAACAAAAGAGAAATTGAAAAATTTAGTTCTAACAGTAACGAGATGGTTTTGAAGGTTTGACGGACAAGCTGCATGCATTGGGTTTTAGAATTCATTTGCTTCTTATGCCTTATCTTTATTTTTTCTTCCATATTGTGTAACAAACTTATCTTCTGCCATGTAATTAAATAATCAATTTAATCATATTAAATAATTAGTGAGTTGAGTTTACTGCTTTAGCAAAGTTATCTAATATTCTTAAATATTTTCTAAAGACAAAATTAGAAAAGTAATATAATATATGGGACTATAACTCTGCGGAAATCTTTTACTGCTAGATATACACAATTATTTTAGGAAGTTTATCTGCACCATCTAGTGGTGCCTTCATGTTACGGGGTTTCTGATCGAATTGAAGTCGATTGACCTACATAAAGAATGGAGTTAGTTATTAAAAAATTAAATTGGCTGCTATCTATAAGCGACCGCTTTTATTTATTATTGTTCAAGATTTACTTTCAAACAGGATTTATATAAGTTATTTATTATGCTCGTATCGCCTCAATCGCAGCAAATATGGTAATAGATAAATTTATGGTAAAACTTATCCGTACCGGACGCTTACACCAAACTAATAGATGCATGCTATTATTTGACATACACTTCTATCAGGATTACTTGTTTTGTATTCTTACATCATTAAGTCACTTGATTAACCATGATGTAGTTTGATGTAAGCACTCGATGCAAGTTTTTTATCGAAGTGGATCAAAGTGCACTGGTTTGGGGCATAGAAGGTTGTTTCCCGTGGTGAGCTAGAAGGGCTGAACTTCATCAGTCCTTATTCGAATTAATGTAGTGAGGGAAAACACGAAGAAATAAAATCTTCTTCTTTTTTATAACGTGAGAAGAACATATGTATAAATGAGTGAGGAAATATACGTACATAACCAAATGTGTGCATTTGCACTCGTTACATGTTAGCTTCTGTTGAAAGGGAGAGTGAATCAGAATCTATGAGAAGAAGAGAGAATATCGCAGAAAGAGAGAAGAAGAACCACTCTGTGTTATTGAAGAAAAATGGAGCAGTTCGCTCTTACAAGTGTACAAGTCAGCTATATATACTACAACTATTATGCCTCAACTAACTAATTTAATTAACTAAACTGTTGCTACTATCACTGTACAAATATCAATTGCCTATGTACAACATACATTGCTATGACTAATTTCTACACTCCCCCTCAAGTTGGGTGGTGAGAAGATGTTTATCATCCCCAACTTGCCAACCATTTCACTGTGCAATTGTTTCCCTAGTGCCTTAGTCAGGATATCTGCTATTTGATTCCTGCTTGAAACATGTGATGTCTTGATCAACCCTTGCTGTAATTTTTCTCTAATAAAGTGGCAATCGATTTCTATATGCTTTGTGCGCTCATGATACATTGGATTAGATGCAATTTGTAGGGCTGCTTTGTTGTCACAATGAAGCTCCATAGGTAAATCAACTTTCACTCCCAATTCCTCTAATAATCCATGTATCCATACCAATTCAGCTACAGTAGTGGCCATGCTTCTATACTTAGCTTCTGCTGAACTCCTTGATACAGTAATCTGTTTCTTGGATTTCCATGAGACAATGGAATCTCCCAGTTTTATGCAGTAGCCTGTGACTGACTTCCTGGTCATTGAGCATGATGCCCAATCTGCATCACAAAATGCAGCTACTTTTCCACTAGTTTTGCTGCTCATCATCAGTCCAGGTCCTGGTGAACCTTTAACATATCTCACTACCCTTAAAGCTGCTTCATAGTGTGATTGTTTTGGAGCATTCATGAACTGACTTAGAACTTGGACTGCAAAAGATATGTCAGGTCTTGTGATTGCCAGGTATAATAGCCTCCCAATTAATCTCTGATATACTCTCCTATCTTCCAGATCCTCATCATTTGTTTGCCCTTCACAATGTTTATCATATTCTACACTGGTGAGTTTTAAGTTCTGATCCAGAGGTGAATCAGTAGGCTTTGCTCCACCCAATCCACATTCTGATACAAGCTCCAATGCATATTTCCTTTGGTTCATAAGAATACCCTTGCTTGACCTTGCAAACTCAATTCCTAGAAAAAAATCTTAACTCTCCTAGGTCTTTCATTTTGAAGTTGTTATTCAAAATAGATTTAGCCTCTTGAATTAGCTCCTGGTCACTCCCTATAATTAGTAGATCATCAATATAAACAAGTATGATGACTATGTCATTATTGTGCCTTTTAGTGAATAGAGAATAGTCCAGCTTGCTTTGTGTGAAACCAGAGTGCATAAAAGCTGACGTGAGCTTCAAATTCCATTGTCGACTAGCCTGTTTAAGACCATAGAGGGATTTGAGAAGTCTGCACACTCTAGTCTCCCCCTGACTGCCAAATCCCTGAGGCAAGGACATGTAAACTTCTTCAGAAAGGTCCCCTTGGAGGAAGGCATTGTAGACATCCATTTGGAATAAGGGGCAGTTATGTTGAGCTGCAAGGGCCACTACAGTTCTGACATTGACCATTTTAACCACGGGGAAAAAGGTCTCATGATAATCAAGACCCTCTTGCTGAGTAAAGCCCTTAGTCACAAGTCTAGCCTTAAATCTTTCTACAGTGCTATCAGCTTTATACTTGACCTTGAAGACCCACTTACACCCAATGGGAGTTTTGCCTGCAGGTAAGTCCACCAATTCCCAGGTGTTATTGTCAATGAGAGCCTGAAGTTCAAGATTCATAGCCTGTACCCAGTTACTGTCACTAACAGCCTGTTCAAAAGAATGGGGCTCAACAACTGAAGAGAAGGCAGTGAGACATGCCCTATAGGAGGGAGATAAGGCAGAGTAACAGAGGGAGGCAGATAAGGGATAAGGGGTATGAGAGGATTTAGTGCCAGGGACATAATCTGTAAGCCAAATAGGAGGCTTAGGGGTTCTGAGAGATCTTCTAAGGCCAGTAGCTGAGGCAGGAGAAGGATGAGCCAACTGACATGGAGAAGGTGGAGAAGGAGAAGCAAGAGGAGTGGAAGAGATAAGAGGAGAAGTAGGATTAGAATTAGGAGGGATGACAGGAGTAGAAGGTGAAGTAGGTGAGGTAGCAGGAGGTGAGGATGAAGGAATATCTGGATTTAACATGGGAATGGCAGGAAAAACATCATCTGTAGGTGGTGTGGCAGATGTAGAAGGAAAGAGATGAGTTGTATCAGAAGTTGGATAACATAGGAAAGTGGATTTAGGATGTTTGAAAGGAAATACATTTTCCTTAAAACATACATCCCTACTGACTAGGAAAGTGCCAGTGGATATATTGTATAGCTTATAACCCTTTTGAGTTTCTGAGTATCCCATGAATATGGCAGGAATGGCTCTAGAAGCAAATTTGTCAAAAGGATGGGGAGTAGTTGCATAACACAAACAACCAAACACTTTGAGATGAGCAAGTGGTGGTGAATACCCATGAAATAGCTCAAAGGGTGATTTCCCTGAAAGTACTGAAGATGGCAGCCTATTAATAATGTAAGCTGCTGTGAGAATACATTCCCCCCAAAATTTTAAAGGTGCATGAGCTTGAAATCTAAGAGCTCTAGCCATCTCAAGTAAATGTCTATGTTTTCGTTCAGCCACCCCATTTTGTTGTGGAGTATATACACAAGAGCTGTGATGAATAATTCCAAGAGAAGTAAAGAGTGTGGAAACTTGTGAATTAAAAAATTCAAGGCCATTGTCAGTTCTGATGACTTTAACAGTAGCAGAAAATTGTGTTTTGGCTAGGGTAAGAAAAGATTTGATTAAAAGAAAGGCATCACTCTTCATTCTCATCAAATAAGTCCATGTCATTCTAGAGTAATCATCCACAATAGTAAGGAAATATCTATATCCATTGTAAGTACATTGTCTATATGGACCCCATACATCCATATGTACAATACTGAAAGGAGATACAGTTTTCTTGACACTAGTAGAAAATGAAAGTCTAGTTTGTCTGGCTAAAGGACAGACAGTACAAGACATGGAGTCATTATTCAACAATTGATGCTTTAAAGAAGGTATTCTTTGTATGACTGTTATTGGTGCATGGCCAAGTCTTTGATGCCATATATTGCAATGACTGGAATCCAATGAAGGAGTGTGAGATGAGTCTGAAGCTAAAGTTGGAATGACTGGAGTAGGATTTGGAACTGAAGCAGGTGTACTGAGTACTGAAAGAGAAGACTGCTCAGGTCCTTTGACTGGTAATGGCTTCTTGGTGGGTTGAAGTATGTAAAGACCATCTTTCTCCTTACCAATCCCCCTCACCCTGCCAGTGCAAAGGTCCTGAAAGATACAAAACTCAGGGAAGAATAGAGCACAACACTTCAACTCCTTGGTGAGTTTAGAGACTGATATTAGATTGTATTGAAAAATTGGAACATGTAAGACATTATACAATGACATATCATTTGGTAATTTCAAGGATCCTGTGTGTGTTACTGAAGTTGTGTGCCCATTAGGTAGGTGTACTTTATTAAAATTGGACTTGACAGGAGTAGATTCAGTTAAAAGTTCCAGACTAGAAACCATATGGTTTGAGGCTCCAGTGTCAATCACCCAAGAATCAGTTTCAGAACCTGCAAGCAAACAAGAGTTAAGAAGCTCCTTTATACCTGCCATATTAGCCCTTGCCTCTGCAACAGTTGGTTCCTGGTTGATCAGCTTCAAGAGTTGTTGGTATTGATCTGCAGTGAACAATGGCAAGGTACTATGAGTTGGTGCATTATTAGCTTTTGGTTCTTCCACAAAGTTAGCATTATTTGCTGATGCTCCCCTGTAATTCCCTGAACCTTGTGACTTATCAAAGCCCTTTCTTCTGCTGAACTTATGACCTGGAGGATATCCAACCAACTTGTAACACTGCTCCTTCAGGTGCCCCTTCAAATGACAGTAATCACAGTACATTCCACTATTCTTCTTGAACTTATTGTTCTGAGTGAAGGCAAAGGCTGTTGGATCATTCATATTCATCTGTTGCAATCCTGGGCTGAGTTGAGAAATCATATTGGACTGTGCTCTTTGACTCTCATCTTGCATAATCATGTTGTAAGCTTGATTAAGTGTGGGCACTGGTACTGTCAACAATACTTGACTCCTCGCTTGTGCATAAGTCTCATTTAGTCCCATTAGGAACTGTACTAGTTTCTGTTGCTCCATATGTTCTGCATATTGCTTGTGCTTCTCACAATCACAGGGAAGAGGCACCATTGACCAATACTCATCCCAAGCATTTTTCAGCTTTGAAAAATACTCTGAAATTGAGGCAGTACCTTGGCTTATGGTGCAAATTTCACGTAGCAATTGATATATCCTAGTCAGATTTTTCTTATCAAAACGTTCCTTTAGGTGTATCCATACACTGTGTGCATTGGTTGAGTACATTAAACCATTCGCAAGTTCTCTCGACACAGAATTGGTAATCCAGGATAGCACAAATGCATTACCTCTTTCCCATTCATGCTCTAAATCACCTTTGTAATGCTCTTTGAGACACTTACCATCTATAAACCCTAATTTGTTTTTTGCCAATAGTGCGACTCTCATTGAATTACTCCATGCAATATAGTTTTCAATTCCAGTTAGCTGTTGCGGAATTAAGACACTACCTGGTGTGTCTGATGGATGTAGATAGAGAGGATGACGAGGGTGAATGTCGGTGAATTTCTCCGAATCACTTTTCTCCAAAACTGTGGTTCCTTGCGTCATTTTGAACTGAATTTCTCAGCAATAGAAACGCTTGAGATGATGAACCTTGTGTATCAGTGAGAACGACTTCAATTGTGAACAATGGATCGATTGCAGAAAAAAAAATTGGGAAAAAAAGCTAGGGTTTGCTCCAAAATTGCTTCTCTCAAATCCTCGATCTTCAACCAAATTGAAGTAAAACATTACTATCTCTCCTTCGTTTCTTAGATTCTCGACTCAGAAAACGCCATGGATTCATAGCTCTGATACCATGTTGAAAGGGAGAGTTGAATCTATGAGAAGAAGAGAGAATATCGCAGAAAGAGAGAAGAAGAACCACTCTGTGTTATTGAAGAAAAATGGAGCAGTTCGCTCTTACAAGTGTACAACTCAGCTATATATACTACAACTATTATGCCTCAACTAACTAATTTAATTAACTAAACTGTTGCTACTATCACTGTACAAATATCAATTGCCTATGTACAACATACATTGCTATGACTAATTTCTACAGCTTCGATGTTAAATATACAGTTGAAAATTTGTTATATATACTAAAACAGTCATCAATTTTCATATAAAAGAATAATGAATGCAGTGGACCACCTCTTAAATTGTCTGACATATATGAAATGGAATATATTAATCTAGCATTTAAAATGTGGCTGGTTGGTGTAATTAAACCTTTATTTTAAGTTTATTAACGGTTATCCATGTGCCATTTGTTATCTGAGAAGTAGTAGAGAAATAGCTGAGAGTTACGACAGTTGGAAAAATTGATGTCACTTTCCAAAGGAGACGAAGGTACCCAAAAGGTAGGCAACAACTAATAAACTATGCTAAATTTTAATGTTAATGCACCAAATATATCTTTATTGCAAATAAAACATTTGGCCCCAGCCTAGGGCTATCAAAATTGGCCCAAGATAACATAGCCTTCCCAACCCGTCTAAATTGATCCGTGAAGTTGCCCAAATGTGAGTATGTGACCCGTGTAACTGCCCAAATCTGAAACTCTTTTACCACTGAAATTCCTCCAACGAAATCCTTTGCTACACTAATCTCTCTCTCTCTCTCTCTCTCCCTCCCTGCCATGCACTGTTCAAATTATTAGTTTCGGAGGTCATTCTTTACTGAATAGGCCAAAGTGTAATACAGGTCTTCACTTTCCTTTTCTGTACCTTTAATAATAAAAATTATTTAGCATATATATCATTATCTATCTTTTCTGTAGTTTTTAGTTAATACTTTCAATTATAAATTTATATAGAGAGTATTTCAATAATTTTTTATTATTCTTCTTCCTAGTACCCTAGTCTATAGTGTGTGAAAATGATATATG